CTCAAACGAGAATTACTACAACAACAACAACGAGTTACGTACAACATCATAGAAAAAAGGAGCTATGAAGACTTTAACGAGGTGATCATGGAGAGGTTGAGATCCACTCACGTTGTAATTGACAACAGGCGAACCACTGCGGCAAACAACGCACACTCCGAGACCACACCCAAGAAAAAAAACTGCGCCATTGCCAAATTTTTGCATTCGAGCAGCTTTCGACAGCACAGCAAGAAGTGAGAAAAGGAAAGAAAGCTGAAAGTGGTTTTCTTTTTACACTGGCTGCTTTTGTACGCTTTTGGTATGTCTAAATAAGTTCCCCATATTAGAACCATGTTATCCTTTTACTACAAAAAAAACTGTTAATTGTTCTGTTGCATATTTCGCTACTTACAAAATCATGTAGCCCAAACCGCATTTGGTACACACCTGCGGTATTTCGGTTTAAATTCCAAAGTTGTAAAATCATTCAGTATTATATATCAAGTAATTAACTGCCTTCCTTTCTTTATTTACTGTAACACAAGAGAAAGCCAATCCCTTCACGGTTGACTTCTCTGCATGACAATTGTATGAAAATTCTTTATTTGCAAAGCACTATGTTGCCATTATTGACATAGAAAATATAAAGCTGAGTAAATTATTCAATGATCTTTCGGGTATTGCCGTTAAGATACCACTTGTAACTATGAAATGAGGAGATGGAGTTAAACCTCGACTGCTTAAGTCTTTGGGCATAAACTTTGCAGGATAACTTACCAAAATATTGGAAAGTTGTTTGCAACTTATTTAAAAACTTCTGAGTTTGCCATTAGGATTGAACATCAACTGGATAACAACCAGAGAAATTTATGGAGGAAAAAAACAAGTCACAAAACACGTATAACATTTATCACATTTAGCAGAATAGAGAAGCATAACACACTACAGCAGTAGATTCCCATAGCAATACTTTAAAAAGATATTCTAAAAAAAGTTAGATAGGTTGCTTCAGCAATGCGGAAAGTTGTGCAAGCCGTTGCTCAAGAGCACCATGCTGACTTGCAAGTGTTGGATGCGAACGTACGGAAAGGGCAACCAGATGGCTCATTTCCACGGGAGTGAACTGGGAGCGCCGGTCTGGCAGTTGAGCTAGGAGGCGATCTGGTTCATGAGCTAATAGCTCAAAGAAAGCCCGCGCTCTGTCGAGTTCAGCTTCTCTTCTTGAAGTGATCTGTGACAATCGCTGCTGCACACCCCAGATATTTCGACAAACTCGCTTCTTTCCAGCTTCGGATAGGCGCGGCATATGCTGGCTGCAAAATATACACTTTGAGCAAAGTTGAATGAGATTTTAGCCTTGAAAAGATCAATATCCTACCTTGAATGGATAAATATAGCAGCACATAAATGTCCCAGCCCGTCAAAGATGTAGCGAAGTTTTGGCTGCGAAAGTATAGATGAAAGAAGCTGATAGAAAGATTGAAGGTCTCGTCCTAGTTCGATAACCTAGATCAAAATCTCATTATTTTCAAAGCTTATGTTGAATCTATAACTTACCTCAGGATCCAGTTCTTCATGAACGCTGACGTTTCTAGGCCTAGCTAATGGGAGAAGATGGAAGAAGCAATGCACTCGCAGCTCTAGGTGCAACATCAAAAGGCAGGTATCTGATATGGTGTCTAAACGACTGATACAATCTTCCATTGCGTCTAAGACAGGCTCCTAAAT